ATGCTTATTGCATCTATTAAACAAAGCACCTGCATGAAACAATTGCCTGGGAAAATTACTGCGATAAACTGTGCCTCACCCTTCATTGCTTCTTGAATAGCATCCGCTGGTCATAGTTGAAAAAGTACACAATTGGAGCCAAACATGATCTTCGATCTTGCCTTTCACATGGATGATAAATAATAAGGGATTTGAAAATTTTCTCCACAAGTACTGCTAACTATTTAAATGCAAAACCAGTCTTGCTGAAAGGTGAAAGAAAGAGGTTAACGGTTTTGTCGAATCTCTGCACTAACACTGCGAAGATAGATTTTTTTTGGTTCTTATCGATTTATGATATGCTAGGTAAGTACATAAGCGCCGAGCAACATCATCAGATCGTCGGCTCATTCCTATCAAATTTCTCATCACGTGTTTGGGTGAACATAGTCTTGCCAAAGTGACAAAGTCACACCACACTTCAGGCTCCCTGAATGATCTTCTTTCTTCAAAAGTCTGCGATTCAGCCTTCAATCACTGAGCTGGATTCGATTTTCCTCAAGAGAACTTCTGCGCCAGTTTTATTCAATTTTGTTAAGAATGAGATCACGCCACTATCACTCGCCATCAGAACAATAAAATCCGCTGTGGCGCTTGATGTTCATTTCTAATCGTTAAGGTTGTTGTACCGTACAAAAAATATGACACTGCTTTAATTCTCCATTCTTGCTTCCATGTATTTTTCCAATTAGATAACTTATGACTAAGTCAATACTTACTATAACGGAGCCATTCACTTATAATCTTGAAAAGAACAGCTCAACAGGACCCAATCAGCATCAAAATCACTGCAACACCCTAATATAAAATTGATGAAACCCTTATCCTAGAATAGCAAACGCATTGCTAACAGGAGATAAATTTTACATCTACGATAAACTCGATAAAAATTTGATAATGTTCAAAATTGCGACAACAAACAAAAACCCAACTTTAGTGGTCTTCAGATTCCGCAGCTCTTTATTTATTATAATTATATTATTTTCAAATCGTGAGATAAAAAAGAATTGCTTCCCAAGAAAAATCGATTTCTAAATTATTTACAACTACAATAACTGTGAGCAATGAGAAACAGAATATACATTAATAGTGCCATAGGGCGAAAACCACGAGCACGGAATGAAAAACAAATCAACAATACCAAAAAACTGAACCATGAGATCAAGCAGTTTGCTATCGACTGTGACTCACGCGTTGGCAGATTCACAAGCGTCAATCCAATCTGAATAGACATCGATAGGCTCTGATAGATAGTTGATCGGTGTCTGAAAATCCTCCATGCACACACGGCACGAAATTAGACCAACATTGTTCTCTCGATCCCTAAAGGTTGCAGGTTTATCAAAGAATGTTACAACATTTGGCATAGTTCCTTCAGCTGTATTAAAAA